TCTGTCATCTAAATTTTTTTCATGAGCAGAAATTATTAATTGCCTATTTTTCCATATGTTACAAACTGCAGATTTGGATAGTTTATATTCCCTGCAAATATCAGCTCAATTGCATCCATTTTCAATTTTCCTGATTAGGCCCATTTTATCCTCAATGGAGAACGTTTCATGTTTACTGTTCGCATTTGAGACACTTGTTTTCAGGATTTTTTAAACTGAACTGAGAGCAAAAAGGAGTTGAAATGAGGGTGTTATCAACACATATTAGTGTCCAATCCTTTGAACAATAATGAATAATTGCTCATTCCCTCTGACAAAAAATGCATTTTGATCAAACTGACACCTTATAGTGGCATCGTCTGCCTGGGTTGGAAACATCTGCTTTGTTTGTTTAGGGATGGAAAAGTGAGATAAAAGAACCAAACAAGAAAAAATGCTTATCACTACATTCCCCTCTATAGATGGTTTTGAAAATCGGTATATGTATTTTTTTTTTTAAGTAGAAAATTCAAAATTATTACAAAAACAAATCAGTTGAAGACATAAAAAAGTTAATTATATCCAACTTCCCCACCTTTTTGGTTCACTATATCCACAAAAAATAGCATTATACGTGTATAGCAAAACACGGGACCGAACATTTTGTTCACTATATGCGGGAGTTCACTATAAACCGTGCTCACTATAGCAGGGTTCGACTGTATATTGATTTAAGTCAAATTAAAAAGATTAACTATTCAAGATAAAAAAATTATATCTTGGCTACAGTTCTGCCTTTGAAAAACATAATTTCAACTATGCCAATTTAGTTTTTATAATTAACTAAATAAAAATACTTTTAAAATTTATTACATATGTAGTTCATGTATATAAATAATAAAGAAAGACTTGTTCTACCAAGAGTAGAATAATTTCTTTCTTTTTCCTAATCTAAAAATTAATTACTTCCTCATTTGATATCTAACATGATAAATTTTGTCTTTGTATTTTCATATTCATGAAAACATTGAGATGGAACAAGAACAATTATGATTTAATTTTTCCAGTAATATTTCCTAACAATAATTTTTAAAATTAGTTAGAAAGACTAAGCACTTGAGACACATTGTTTTTAAATAATATTAAGCATTATTGATATATTTTATCAGAGCTCTGATATGTAAAAGATTTTTAAAAAAATCTTATTTAAATAAGAGAAGACCTGATTTTTTAAAAAAGAAAAAAAAAATTTTTTTTTTTTTTTTTAAAAAACATGTTTTTTTTCTTCTTTTAACCCTGAGTGTTTCTCTCTTATATAAATCCAAAACCATTTGAACTAGCTTCCAGAAACTTGATCAGCAAGAGAAAAGGGAATTTTAACTAATTAAAAGCGATTTTTTTTTTAAAATTCTGATTTAAAGGGAATAAGGAAAACGGATTTTTACGTGATCCTGAAAATGTTTTCAGCTCAGAATACTATCATTTAAGAATATAAAGACAAATTAAATTAAAAATAGAAAGAAAAAAAGTAAATCACATTTTTTCTCAATTGATTTAACAAAATATGTTCACTGAGAAATTAACACATGTAGGTCTCATAGTGGGTCTAAGATTTTGGCTAAGGTAAGAAAAAACAAAATTTTTCAAAAAAATCAGGACACAAGGGCATTTTCCTGAGTTTTTTCTTTATAAAATGAAAGATTTAAAAAAAGAAACAGTCCAGCTATCAAAGTTATATGCCTGAACTAAATATATATTGAGTGGATGCTCCCTAAGTTTGATCATTCAAATTTTGTGATTTTTACAAGCATGATCAAATAAAATAAAAAGATGGATAGAAAATCCAAATATTTTGATTGTTTATATCAACAATTTTAAAATCAACATTTTCATTGAAGATAAAAATCAGGAATATCAGGACAAAAGCTATGATTGAAAAATAAAAAATTTACTTAAAACTTTTTTAAAAAATTTAAAAAAAGAGCTCATATATCTAAAATATTAGAAGATAGCTGGTTTTGCAACTAGATGCACAAATAATCTATATTTTGCTGCTCCTTTCTAGAAAAACCACACTTCGTATTATTTGTTGTATATCTACAGTAATGCTTAAGCTGATTTTTATATTATTTTTCAAATTGTTTAAAATACAAGTAACAAACATACTCTCCAGTTTAAAGTGATACTCGTTTGAGCTTAACCATAGTGAAGTGTAATTTCAAATGCATGACAATCAGCTTTATGAATTACATATCAAAAGGAACATTCTGTTACTGAAACATGTTTTGATTTTTAAAAGACAATTGATGCAAAAATTTTAGTTTCATTTCTTTGTTGAGTTACTAATACTGAATCAATTACAGGCCACTTTTTTTTCTAACCATAACATATTTACTTTTTATGTATATCTTTAAAATAGAGATTTATATAATTTTAAATAGGTAACAGCTTTTATTAAAAAAAACAGACTTTTGGGTTCTAAAAAACCTTGTCTAGCACAATAACTGACAGATTGCAGAAAAACAATGTTAAACATGAATATATTTTCTTACATTATTTCCTTCATTAAATAAAATTGTGGTTCATTTGTGATACAAACTTTAAACATGTTTTAAAACAAATTTTAAATCAAAATTTCAGTTTTAATGTAAAAAATTAAAAATAAATGATTTAAATAGTAAAATAACCTTCATAAATGGTTTTATTGAAGTCATATCCATGTGATGCTAGAAAATGAATGCTTGATGTCTGTAAAAGAGATATAAAAAATAAAAAAAACATTTGCAGTGTTTTTTTAAAGATATTAATAAAGATACTAATAATATGGTAAAAAAAGCCAAAGGCTCAATTACCTGACACAGAAATCGGTGATCTGGAGCTTGCCTGATATGTGGGCGGGGAAATATGTAAAAGTTAAAATCTCTGTGAGTAAATCTGGAACATAAAATGTCAAATTATGAAATCCGAAAAACAAAATTTTAAAATGTATTAGGATGCTTATAAAAATAATGCTAATATTTTGATTGAATAATTAAATATCTTATCTAGGTGAAAGAAATCTAATTGCCACACAAAAAAGACAGTAAATTAATAACTATAGATGAATAAAGTTAACTTGATATTTTTTTATTATAAAACTTTGAGTTGAAAGTTTAAAAAGCCAAAAAGTAACATTGAAAATCGGAATTGTAATTGAAATTCAAATAACAAGAATTCCAAAAAAAATTTTTAAAAAAAGGGAGGAGAAAGAAGAAAAGAAATTGGAAGAGATTTTAATTACCATAAAACGTTCCTTTTAGCACAAAATCTGGTTTTAACACCACTGGGGCATTAAAAGGTTGGAGTGTAAACACTTTACAAACTGGTGTAATGTAATTGAGAAGAAGAAAAAATAATAAATGAAACAAAATTTTATTTAAAAATTCATTGTTATAAAACTACAAGTTTCATTTACTGAAACTTTTGGTGTAAATATTTACAAAACAATTTGATATACAAAGATTTTTTAGTGGAAAGCTTCCTAAGCATTTGATATTTTTCATATTTAATAACTAACAATGCTGCAAATTAAGTTATTTTTACGCAAATAGAAATAGAAGGTCTTGTAAATGATGAAATAATTTTAAAACTCAGAATTGGAGATTCATACTATCTAAAATTAAGGAAGTGACTGGATTTTATGCTTGGAGAGCAGAATAATATCGAAAAAGAGCCCACTTGTTTTCCAATTTAATTATTATTTTTCATTTTCATTGCAATTCTTCCAAAACTAAGATAACAGGACTATACTCACTATTCATTACAATTCATTTAACAAGTTCAATTACAATATGATAAACAATACAATTTTCTATACAATAACCTGTTGCAACTTGATTGTTTACTTTCTATTCTGTATATGTACTGATAAAAAAAAATTGCTAACAGCAAAAAATGAATGTTTCTCTGAAAATCCAGAAGTCTTTAAATTCCAGAGATCTTTCCGATTGATTTTAATTCCCTGCTTCAGTAACATAATCCTATTGACCAAACATAAAATTCCCTAACACTAAAACAACTTTCTTCTTCTTTTTTTTTTGTCAAAAAACCGTCAATCCAACTTTACGATTTTGAGCTTCTTCAGTTAGTAGAAATTCTACAAGTAATTTTGCATTTAGTCTAAATGAAAAGTAGTATCATAATATATTAAAACACATATTAAGAAAACTTTTGTCTACACAGATGCTTCCTTTGTGAAAGTTTTTTTCTGGCACTCTCCTTAACAATAAAAAAAAAAAACATCTTTTTTCTATTTTATTAATTTTTTTCCCAATGGCAAAGGAAAATGACAAGATTAACAATAGCTTTACGATTCGCTACAGCTTAAACGATGCCAAAAGTGATAACAAAACAAAAAATTTCAATTCAAAATTTTTGATCTTTTTTTTTTCAACAAAAAGAAAAAGTTAATATTTTTATTATGTGCATATGCTAACACAAATTGCACATTAACAATTGGCAGAACATAGGTTGTGCACCCCTGACACATGACTTTTATATGTAAATTATGAAGAAAAGAAAAAATTCTGAAATTGTAAATTAAAGTATTCAACTAGAAGCATAAGTATTTGCAAACATATTAAAAGTATTTAACTTACTTCTTTAATTTTGGATGATATTTAAAGCAACTTAGACCATATTGGATTATCAAAAATTCAGAACAAAGCTAGAAAAAACAAAAATAAATAATTTATAACACATGAAAATGAGGCAATCAATTTCAAAATGAAAAACATTTTTAAGGAGTATGTTACACAAAATATTTTACTACAGTATAACTGGGCTATAATTCTTGATATACCGGGCTATAATTCTTGATCAGTATAATTCTTGACTCACTTCAAGAAAACTATATAAGAAATTATGAAAAAGCATCTAACAGTTAATAAATTTTTGGAGAAGGATTTAAAAACACTTCTTCAATGAAAAAATGCAAGTATGTAATAAAAATAAATTGTATGAAGTTCTTCACCTGTTTAAGTAAAATTTTCCGGATAATAAGGCGACAGTTGATAGGAAATTATGAGTTGTTGCAATGATGACTAAAAGAATTTGCTGCTATGCAAGGATTCTATGCAATCTATGCAAATAGTTGCTATGTAAATACATTCTACCTTAAATTATTTATCGGTAGTTTGTAAGTGTTTGTGTGTATGTTCCTAGAGGGTAGTTGGTAGGTTCTTAGATGGTAGCATGATGTCTGTGCGTATGTTCTTAGATGGTAGTTTGTAAAATGCAGATTCCTACAGTAACTAAGAAAAACGAAAACAGATGCAAAAGCAGATATTTTTCCGAGAAATAAACTCTTCAGCCATCAGAACAGTCAGTGATTTCTCGCCATAAGTATTTTATGACACAAAATTGATAAAGAATGTCAAAACATATAAAACTAGTGGAACTGCCCTATATTTATGAAGATTTAAAATACCAAGAGTCAGTTTTAAGCTACAAATTTATGCATAACAAATGCAGCTACAAATTTATGCATAAATTTAGCCTTTTTTTAGTAGAAAATGTGTTTAGCATGATAGTGTAACACTGGATAATGTTTTGCTCTATTCTTGCTTTCCATGCTGATTTCTTTTATGGTTAAGATTTATAAAATGAATAGTAGATAGTAGTTCACAAGATGAAGGTGTATCAATTGCTATTTTAATTATGTCTAGTGTTTATGAATTTAAAAGCTGTTTTGTGTCGTTTAAGTATTTCAAAAGGTGATTTTCTATTTAACGAATTTTCCATATAATGAACTTATTAACGGGATTTAGAGACTACGTTAAATAGAGGTTCGACTGTATTTTGTTACAATGCCAAGTTATAATAAATCAAAAATTTTAGTTTAATTTCTGTTTGTTTATAAGAATAATATTAACAAAAATTCGTACATAAAATATATTGATTTTTTTTTTTTTGCTGCATTGAAAGAGATATTTTTACACTTACAACAGGAAACTTCATTATAAATGTGATAAAATAAGTTAATAGCTGTTTTTATTATAATGATTTAAGCAGACATATTTATATGTGTGTGTGTGTGTTATGTGATTAATCTGGTGATTTAATATCATTACGTATAATAACCATTTATTGACTTCCTAATTGTAAAATATAAAATATTGTAATTTGTGGTCTTTTACGCCACAATGTTCAACAGAAAAATATTTTTCTGATAACTACTAAAAAAAAACTGTACTCTATTCTACTGACCCAATCAGTCATGATATTTATCACATTTACCATTACGAGTTGGGAATTATGCAAACAAACAGTTAATTTGATAAATTTTCAACAATTTATTATATTTACCAAATTTAGTGGTGATTATGCATAATCACCAGTTTATTACTTTTACCATAATATACGTGTGTGTGTATATATATATATAAAAACATCAGGTAATTTAAATCATTTACACACTGCCTGCAACAAATATTTAATCCAAAGCTATACCTTGCGAAGCTTCGCATATCTCTCCTCCATGCTGTCAAATGCATGTTCAGATGAGCGTTCACTGTAGAGACCTTGAAATATAGAAATGCATATTATTTTCAAATCTAATTGACATATTTTGATGAATCAATAATAGTAGCAAGAACATTAAAAACAATAAAATCAAACAGAAATTTATAAAACAAATCTTGCCAGAAAAACCTCTTGTTTTATTTGCAAAAGTAAAAAAAATTCATGACACATTTAAAAGAAATGAAAAATTGGTTACATCATTTGAATCATTTCATCATTTGCAATTACATGCATCAATTACACCATTTGCAAGTACTATTACAATCATAGAACTGAATTTAAAAAATTCGAGTAGCTCTAATAATTTTGGTGAAAATAACTCTGTAACTTACACTCACTCTAAATTTTAAAAAGTTTTACAAAATAAATTTCTTTTTTTAAAAATTAAAAACTTGCTGTTACACACTTAACATATTTTGTTACATCCATAAAACCTAGTTCTTAATTTTCAAAAAGTTTTAAAGCTTTTGAAAATTCCTAAAACTTTGAATCTGTAAATGAAACAAAAATTTATTTCCACAAAAAATATGCATCAATATTTTTAGCTGAATTACATGCTTTTATTATGTGTAAATAGTAAAATTTCTCAAATGTCAAAAAAAGAAAAGAAAAAAAAAGAAATTTAGAGTTATGAAGAAAAACGTTTTTTCACAATTGTCTTTGCTAATAGTACGAAATAAAAGTAAATTAATTGACTAATAGATAATTAAACTTAAAACTTTTCCTTTGTTGTTGTTGTTGTAGTAGTTAATTTGATAGTTGACAAAAATTACTTTTGAATCACGAGTCAGGGTTTTTTTTTTTTGTTTTTTTTGGTTATCTAACTGACCTTTTATTCAAACTATTCTAGTCAAATCAGAAATCTTATATCAGGGATTGCAAATAACGAGTTTGACTGTATTTGTTTAATTTAATTTTAAAATATGAACAAATGATTGATAAAATTATTAATTAAAAAGATATAATTTAGATAGAAAAATTATTAAATTATAACATAAAAACATTAATAACTGTGGTTTGATTCCTACGGAGTTATAGAAAAACAACACTAAAATAAAACCTAACTCTTTATGAAAAAAAGACGAAATAGTGATATGAGCTGGACTACCTCAAGCTGGACTACCTCGCTCATCCGAAGACAGAACAAACCAGATTTTGGAAAGAAGATACAATAATATAAACTAGAGCTGGACTCATGATCAATATCACTCGTCATTATTAAATTGAAGTGCAAGTGTATAATATATGCAAGTATGTAATATAAACTTTAGCTCGACTAATGATTAAATTGAAATGCAGGTGCATAATAAAAGCAAGTATATAATATAAACTACAGCTGGACTCCTGATTAATATAACTTGTCATAACCAAATTAAAATGCAAATGCATCATATAAGCAAATCAGGGTTGGCAGGTTTTTGACATGTGACAGTTTTTGACAGTTTAAACCATGGTTTAAACCGTCATGTCAAAAACCTCACTGTCAAAAATGTCGAAAATGTNAAAAACCCAACCCTGAAGCAAATATATACAAGTATATAATATAAACTATAGCTGGACTCAGAATGAGTATAACTTGCCATAATAAATTGAAATGCAAGTGTATAATATAAGCAAGTACATGCAAGTATATAATATAAACTATAGCTGGACAGACGATGAATATAACTCGCCATAATAAATTGAAATGCAAATATATAACATAAGCAAGTATATAATATAAACTATAGCGGGACTAATGATGAATATAACTAGTCAAAATTAAATTTAAATGCAAGTGCACAATACATGCAAGTTCATAAAATGAACTATAGCTGAACTCTAGATAAATATAACTAGTCATAATTAAAATGAGAAGAAAGTAAAAAATATTATCAAGCATATGAAAGTATATAATATAAACTGTAGCTGGACTCCAGAAGAGTATAACTCCTCATAATTAAATTGAAATGCAAGTGTATAAAATAAGGAAGGATATAATATAAACTATAGCTGAACTAATAACATATAAAACGTGTCATAACCAAATTGAAATGCAAATGTATAATATAAGCAAATATATACAAGTATATAATATAAACTAAAGCTGGACTCACGATGAATATAACTTGCCATAATAAATTGAAATGCAAGTGTATAATATAAGCAAATATATGCAAGTAAATAATACAAACTATAGCTGGACTGACTATGAATACTACGCGCCATAATAAATCGAAATGCAAATGTCGCATAATGCATAATAAGCAAGTATATAATATAAACTACAGCGGGACGAACGATGAATATAACTTGACATAATTAAATTTAAATGCAAGTGTACAATACATGCAAGTTCATAAAAAGAACTATAACTACACTAGATGAATATAACTAGTCATAATTAAATTGAAAAGAAAGTAAAAATAATATCAAGCATATGAAAGTATATAATATAAACTGTAGCTGTACTCCTGAAGAGTATAACTCCTCATAATTAAATTGAAATGCAAGTGTATAAAATAAGCAAGGATATAATATAAACTATAGCTGAACTAAAAATATATAAAACTTGTCATAACCAAATTGAAATGCAATTTAATAATATGAGCAAATATATGCAAGTATATAATATAAACTTTATCTGCACACACGATGAATATAACTCGCCAAGATAAATTGAAACGCAAGTGTATAATATAAGCAAGTATATAATATAAACTATAGCTGGACATACATTGATTATAACTTGTCATAACTAAATTGAAATGCAAATGTATAATATAAGCAAGTATATAATACGAACAATAACTGGAGTCATGATGAATATAACTTGTCATAATTAAATTGAAATGAAAATGTATAATATAAGCAAATATAAGCAAGTATATAATATAAACTATAATTAATGATGAATATAACTCCTCATAATTAAATTGAATTGCAAGTGTATAAAATAAGCAAGGATAAAATATTAACTATAGCTGAACTAATAATGTATAAAACTTGTCATAACCAAATTGAAATGCAAATTAATAATAGAAGAAAATATATGCAAGCATATAATATAAACTATAACTGAACACACGATGAATATAACTCGCCATGATAAATTGAAACGCAAGTGTATAATATAAGCAAGTATATAATATAAACTATAGCTGGACATACATTGATTATAACTTGTCATAACTAAATTGAAATGCAAATGTATAATATAAGCAAGTATATAATACGAACAATAACTGGAGTCATGATGAATATAACTTGTCATAATTAAATTGAAATGAAAATGTATAATATAAGCAAATATAAGCAAGTATATAATATAAACTATAATTAATGATGAATATAACTCCTCATAATTAAATTGAATTGCAAGTGTATAAAATAAGCAAGGATAAAATATTAACTATAGCTGAACTAATAATGTATAAAACTTGTCATAACCAAATTGAAATGCAAATTAATAATAGAAGAAAATATATGCAAGCATATAATATAAACTATAACTGAACACACGATGAATATAACTCGCCATGATAAATTGAAACGCAAGTGTATAATATAAGCAAGTATATAATATAAACTATAGCTGGACATACATTGATTATAACTTGTCATAACTAAATTGAAATGCAAATGTATAATATAAGCAAGTATATAATACGAACAATAACTGGACTCATGATGAATATAACTTGTCATAATTAAATTGAAATGCAAGTGTATAATATAAGCAAGTACATGCAAGTATATAATAAAAACTATAGCTGGACTGACGATGAATATAGCTCGACATAATAAATTGAAATGCAAATGTATAATATAAGCAAGTATATAATATAAACTATAGCGGGACTAATGAATATAACTTGTCATAATTAAATTTAAATGCAAGTGTATAATATATGCAAGTACATAAAATGAACTATAGCTAGACTCGAGATGAATATAACTCGTCATAATTAAATTGAACAGAAAGTATAAAATATTATTAAGCATATGAAAGTATATAATATAAACTGTAGCTGGACTCCTTAAAAGTATAACTTGTCATCATTAAATTGAATTGCAAGTATAAAATATTATCAAGTATATGAAAGTATATAATATAAACTGTAGCTGGACTCCTGAAGAGTATAACTCCTCATAATTATATTGAAATGCAAGTGTATAAAATAAGCAAAGATATAATATAAACTATAGCTAAACTAATAATGTAAAAAACTTGTCATAACAAAATTGAAATGCAAATTAATAATATAAAAAAAATATATGCAAGTATATAATATAAACTATATCTGGACACAAGATGAATATAACTCGATATGATAAATTGAAACGCAAGTGTATAATATAAGCAAGTATATAATATAAACTATAGCTGGACACACGATGAATATAACTTGTCATAACCAAATTGAAATGCATAATATGAGCAAGTAAATAATACGAGAATAACTGGATTCATGATGAATATGACTTGTCATAACTAAATTGAAATGCAAGTGTATAATATAAGTAAGCATATGCAAGTATATAATATAAACTATAGCTGGACTCATGAGGTATAAAACTGGTCATAATTAAATTGAAATGCAAGTGTATAATATAAGAAAGTATAAGCAAGTATATAATATAAACTAGAGCTGGAATCATGATTAATATTACTTGTCATTATTAAATTGAAGTGCAATTGTATAATATATACAAGTATATAATATAAACTATAGCTGGACTAATGATTAAATTGAAATGCAGGTGTATAATAAAAGCAAGTATATAATATAAACTATAGCTGGACTCCTGATTAATATAACTTGTCATAAATAAATTTAAATGCAAGTGTATAATATATGCAAGTACATAATATAAACTACAGCGGGACGAATGATGATTATAACTTGTCATAATTAAATTTAAATGCAAGTGTACAATACATGCAAGTTCATAAAAAGAACTATAGCTACACTAGATGAATATAACTAGTCATAATTAAATTGAAAAGAAAGTAAAA